ACACACACACACACACACACACACACACACACACACACACACACACACACACACACCACAGTCTTTTCCTGTGATCAAAACAGAGCACTTGCGCGCGACGTTAGCGTTAGCAGCTCAGCTTTGTCCAAGCCCATGAGATGCAAAACCGATTAAAAGACCTGTGTTTACCTGTGTTTATCAAGCGCTGGCGCGGCGTCTCTCTGATTTCGGTCCGTATTTTGCCGTCCCTCTGTATTGTTACATTGCGTGAATCGCTCAGGCGGCTATTTTCTGCCAACGACTGACGTGAATGACGGTGCCCCAGCGTGCGCGTTACCTTGACAGCGTCGAGTCTTCTGCTAAAGCGCGACAAACGCTGCCCTGTGCGCATGCGCAGACCGAAGCCTTGACCACCTCCCACCAAAAAATGTAAAAAAAATAAAGTAAAATAAAAAACCTGGCACCGAGTGGAGCAAAAGATGAAGATGAAATTAGCACTTTACCTCTGAAATTTCCACAAAAAAGTCAGTGAAGATGGTCCAGTAAGGTAGACTATATTGCGTCGTTTCAGTATGTGCTGTCGTCTGATAAATGCCCGTGTTACGCCTGAAGCCAATGTAAGCACAAAAAAGGGACGTAAAGACAAATGTATGAGCTTTTCTAAACAGAAAATTGTGCAAATTCAAGTTTTGAAAATGAGAGCTTAGATTATGCATGATTTGCATCCGATTCCATTCAGTATTTTATCAGTAGATGGCAGCATCGTTGATGGTAATACATAAAACAAAATGCACTAACGTTATATACTTTTAAAAGTGTAAGAATTTAACAGTAATGTACAATTCTTAAGTACTTGGTTAAAGTTACCTGTAAAGTTACCTAAAGTTATATGTGACCCTGGACCACAAAACCAGTCATAAGGGTCAATTATTTTGAAATTGAGATTTATACACCATCTCAAAGCTGAATAGATAAGCTTTCCATTGATGTATGGTTTGTTAGGACAGGACAATATTTGGCCGAGATACAACTATTTGAAAATCTGAGGGTGCAAAAAAATCTAAATATTGAGAAAAACGCCTTTAAAGTGGTCCAAATTAAGTTCTTAGCAATGCATATTACTAATCAAAAATTAAGTTTTGTTATATTTACAGTAGGAAATTTACAAAATATTCTTATGGAACATGATCTTTTCTTAATGTCCTAATGATTTTTGGCATAAAAGAAAAATCAATAATTTTGACCCATACAGTTTATTTTTGCTACAAATATACCCCAGCGACTTAAGGCTGGTTTTGTGGTCCAGGGTCACATATATGTTAAATATATATATTTTTATTCTACAAGATAACACATACATTTCCTATTAGAAAATGGTCAAATGCTTTTACAAAAATGTTATATTAACATTGTATAATTAGCTGACATATTCATTTCATGCTATCCCATAGTACTTAAAATAGTTTTTTGAGTCATCAGTTTTTTTTTCTAGTCTGATGTAAAATATCTAAATAGATGGCAACATAGATGTAATTTCCACAGAACCATTTTAAAATAAATGATTGTTTAACAGGTGGCATTAAGAAATTGTTTTGTCTGAAAAATGTTTAATGATGAAAAGTTAAAAATACAATGTCAAGATTTCCTGCCCACTGACACGTCTGGCGCTGTCCATGGTCCTGGAAGCAATTTGATTCCATTGTAGGTAGATGTACCCAAACTCTTCAGGATATGCTTCACTTTACACACCTTTACAAACACAGAGACCATCACAGCGAGGTGTACTGCAGAATGAATGTATTAAATTAATAGCAGCTTCACAAAATTATACCATTGTGAGGGTAATGTTTGTTTTGTTTTGTTTTTTAACCAAAAAAGGAATTTGGTAAAACATTCACAGGCTATGGTATAAAAATGGGAGTTTGAACAAGGGAAGGTGATACAGGAGAAATTCTAAGGTTATACACAGAAAAACAGCAAGAATTTACAGTTTTATACATTATAGGTTCCTAGACATCCTCAAATTAACATTTTTGGTCTTACAGACCAACATTTGTTGCCATGGACGGTCCATCCATATAAAGTAAATGGTTTTAGTACTCTTGTCTTTTGTGCAGTTTTGCTTCTTCTCTCACTCTGTCATGACCACCTGATGTGGCAGCACACAGCTAACCTTACATTCACAGGAGAGCTTGTTCCCGAGAACTAGTGGCTAATTCCTTCAATACCTGCTGAAAAAAAATCCTTGAGAAGCAGTTTGGACTGGACTAAAACTCAAACCGCATTTGTTATGTCTTAGCATTAGAGATGCAAATTGAAATTGTTGATCCAATTTTTATGTTAAGTATGACTTATACCCCATTGTTTTGTTGGGTCCAGTTTTCTAGGTCACTGTAACAAGTGATTTAAAGAAAACTAGAGTTTAGCAGTAATTTCATCTGCATTGTTAGACCAGGAAATAAGATATAACCCCTAACTGTGTTATTGGTTTACTGCAACTCAAAGGATTCATCATATCGTACTGGAGATGTTTACAAGTTACACAAACAATGATCTGACTTGCAAGTGTATTTAGACAGCATCGCTCCATCCATATTGTAATGCAACTAGCTTGGATGACACAGTAACTCTTTTTTTTTTTTTTTAATTCACACTTTTTGTAATTATTCAACTGACCACAAGAGGAAGCTATGACTCTATCTGTCGTATATTCGCGTGAACTGCAGTCTCGTATGTCCAATGCCGCTTTAGTAAAAGACTGGGTGCTCATGCAGGACTTAATGGCATTCAAACATCTGAACCTGTAAACACAAACACACACACGTTACATTCCCTCTCCCTTTTCTGACCTTGGTCAGATTATTGTTTCTGTAGCTAACTAAGCATACATTCTATGCTGTGATACAGCTGAGGTTACGTAGACAGCCGATGTCTCCTAAACATGACTTGTAGCTCGGTCCTGTTTTCCACGTCACACTAAAAGATAGTTTTCAGACACTGCTGGTGTGTTCTGTGTGGCTGTGACCACTGCTGATAGACAGCTCTGATATTCCCGGTTTCAGCTCCAGTCCGGGGTCAGTGTCCATGTCATGGGGCTCCAGATTTCGGATTCCATTGCCGTCCCCATTGCGGCAGTTACTGTTCCGGTCGATGGAAACTTTTTCGCAGATCAGGATGGGAGTGACTACTGCATGGGATGGACAAGGAGCGTGTGTAGCAATGGGATTAAACCCCACCCGTCTATACTGGCAGTGCATGTAACTTGAAAACGCTCTTCGGTAGGTCTTGTTAAACAAAGTGTACACTAAAGGATTGACTCCTGATGAGATGTAGCCCACCCAAACGAAAACATTGAGCAGTTCTGTTAGCACAGGCTTATTACAGGCTTTGTGGCAGAGGACATACAGAACATTAGTGATGAAAAAGGGACACCACATGACGAGGAAGAGGAAGAACACTACACCCAACACTTTGGATGCTCGTCGCTCGTTCTTGATGGCCTGCATCATGCCTCGCCGCCCATGGGCTCCGGTTGGGTCCCGTCCAGCGGGCGAATTCATTTGAGATGGTGCTTCTGAACTTGGGATTATTGAGATGGTGTCTGGGGGCACGGTCAGACCGAGCATGTTTCCATCGCTGTTGCTGATCTGTAGACAGTTCAGACTGCTGCGACGGGAGGCTGGTGGCGGGGCCAACTGGGAAGTAGGTGGAGCTGGAGGTTGCAAAGGCTGTTGAGAAGAGGCTTTGTCCTCATAGAGGAAGACTGTGGCCTGACGCTGAAGCGCTTGGACGGTGAGACAATAAGTAACCACCATGATGACCAGAGGAATGAAGAAGGCAACAAAAGAGCCAACCAGTATGAAGTGTTCCTCATTTAGAGCACAGTTGCCATTTTTCAAGACCTTTTCTCTGTTATGCAGTCCAATCACTGGGATAGGCATTGAGATACCTGTGTTGGAAGAAGTAATAGAATATTAAACAAATACATATAAACAAACATCAAAGAAACAGTCCGACTACAAAATGAGAATGAGACAACTGGAATGCAAGATGCCGGAGACGACAGACCAACGGCTTCAGCGAATCACACTCTATCCTCTAGTCAACGAAATCTATCCTCAAGTCAATTCCTCTCTCTTATCCAGCTTGATCAGTATTCCTGATGGTTAAAATAAGAGGATCTTTTATTTAATTAGAGCAGATAAATTAGACTGTCAAGGCAGATAGAGCCTTAATGCTGTTTTGGATCCAGATAAGAAACAAATAAACATTGGGCTCACGTTTAAGCGGGAGAGAGGTTAGATGTGTGAACACTCTGTCATCTGCACAAACGTTACTTAGTCTATCTCGGGTTCTCAAAGGTTTTGGGGCCAGGGAGCCCTTACAACAAAGAAAATTTTCCAAGGACCCCCTCATAGTTTTAACTATGATTAAGCATACAGTACAGTATGCTTACTACAATTTGTACTCTGAGATGAAATTGGAACTTCTGTTTTAATGTTTCTGGATTCTTCTTCTTTTTTTAATTTCCTGGACTCATTTAATGGTTAAATTAAATTGTAGTAATCAAAAATCACATCTAATTAACTGAAATCATAAAACTTAGAAATTGTAAATACAATTATTATCATTTTCTAACAGTAATAGGGCCCTATAAAATACTTTCTCTCTTTCTTTCTTTATTTCTTTCTGTCTTTCTTTCTTTCTTTCTTTCTTTCTTTCTTTCTCTTTTCATGTTTTTTCCCCCTGGATGTGTGATTTAATATAAATATATTATTAAAAACGGTGGTAATAAGATGAAGGCATAAAACATTAACTTTTAAAATATAATAAAACGAAAATGTAACTATTACTTAAATTTTTGCCAAACAAATTGTTGCATAACAGAGGTTTACTGTTAAAGTTTAAACATGAAAGAAAGAATTGTGTGGGCATTACTGTCAATATTTCGTCAAGTTAAAGTGGATTTTGACGGACCTTTGAGTTTCTGTGTGTGTGTAGCTATATATGATATGACGATAGTTTTTCTCAAATGAAACGGTGAAATGCTCGTGAAGTGACTCTCAGAGCAGTTCTAAAGATGAAGTTCATGTGTTCTTGTCCTCATATAGTGAGACGGCAGACGTGAGAAACACCTCTAGCACCACATGGGCTTCAGTATGTGTGTAGACACATGCATTTTCTGTAAAGCTGCTTTGAAACAATGTGTATTGTGAAAAGCGCTATACAAATAAATTTGAATCGAATTTAATTGCTATCTTTTTGAGGAAGTTTAGCAAGAGGAAGAGATGGAGAGTGAAAGCTAGAGAGTCTTTTTAATTTCTATACTTAACCACAACTACCAGTAATATCAATGCACTGCAGACAAGTCTTTTAACTCTGCTGTTAGAACGGATTAGTTATGGTCACTCTACATTATGTCAAAAGTAAGACTAGATGGCGTTAATGCATTAGCATGCCAATCCTTTAGCATTCCACACACAATGACAGACTGTGGTTTACTTTATTGAACAGTAGGTGGTGATCTTCACTAAAAGTGATTACCAGACCAATCACAAACATTCAATTCATCCAAGCTTCTCTGAATTTCGAGGCGCTAGTCTGGGTGATGGAGAAAATCACCACAATCACCAAACTGGTGCTTGTTTATACAATGTCATTTCAAATCTTTTTCATTGTTGCTGATCTGAGGGGCCTTTTAGACCCAGCTGGAGCCTTGAGAAAACCTCACAACACAATCTGCCATTCTGAGGGGTCCTGTGAGATACAAACACATTCCAGTAATAGACTCAACAGGATTGCAGTGGACTGACATTCACTTTAGTAGGTACAAATGATACAAATGTTCAATCTAAAGACCTCCACTGACATTGAAAAATAATGTTTTTCTGCAGGTTCTGGCTGGTTATTTGGGATTGATGCACAGTTCCAGTCAATTTTTTATTATTATTATTTTTTAAATGTTGTAAGAAATAATGCATTTTTTTTTTCAAGTTCATTATATCAATGTTTCTCTGACCTATTGAAATGGTCCAAACTGCAGCAATCTTCAGCATGGCCTTGGTGCGGGAGTTGAACCGACTGTGCTCGATCGGATTGCATATGGCCACGTAGCGGTCAAGGGAAATGGCACACAGGTGCATGATGGAGGCAGTGGAGAAAAGCACATCCAGATATATCCAAATAGGACAGAGAGCGCTGGGCAATGGCCAGGCATAATCTGGAAAACAAAGAGAGAGATTGCTTTGTAAACACCCTTAATGAAACAGTCCTACACATGAAGAATAATGCTGAGAAAGAAAGAAAGAAAGAAAGAAAGAAAGAAAGAAAAAGAATAGTTAGCTAAGAGAAACAGAAGGTAAAGTGGTCTTTCAGATCACATTATAAAAGTCCAGATGACTGTCTTCAGACCAAGAGCTAAAAAAGGCTGTTATGTCAGCAGGCTTAAAATAACCAACATTAAGAAACTGTGAGGTTATGTAAAAAGTAAGTCATTTAGAGTTGTGTAGGCTTATGGATGAGAGCGACAGATACAAAAACACACTGGGTCTTAGAGATAAAACCAGAATTATTAAACAGATAGTTCCGGTCCTGGCTTCTGATTTATCAATACAATGTTCCAGTCATGCTAAAATCCTTGAAATAGCAAAAGGTATGATGTATAACATCTGTTCACTACAATTTTGTCTAAAACAATATTTTAATAAAAAATGTGTTTTTAATACAACTTAATAAAACCACATTTTTAGAGTGGTTTGGTGTGCAAAAGTCACCAGTAAGATGTTAGGATGTTGTGGGTGTCACATGGAAGAACCATTTTGGGCCCCCCCCCCCCAAAAAAAACTTTCAGTCAACAGTTCTTAAAAGAACCACTTTTGAGAAATTTTTGAAGAACCTTTTCTGAAGAACCTTTCTCCACTATAAAGAACCTTTGGTGCAAATGAAAAGTTCTATGGATGTTAAAGGTTCTTTATGGAACCATAGATGCCAATAAATAATGTTTATTTTTAAGAGTGTAAGATGTTTTGGGTTGTTGCCAGGGCATTTTCTAGAGTGTTTCTAAGTGCTAGATGGCTACTAACTGCCCCGCATCGAAAGATCCCATTCCCAAACCTCATATTTTGAGGTAGCGTTCATGTCTGTTCAGGGCAACTTGTTGCACCATCAATAGTAATACAGGTGCATCTCAATAAATTAGAATGTCGTGGAAAAGTTCATTTATTTCAGTAATTCAACTCAAATTGTGTTCCTTCCACTCAACTTTCTGTTAACATGCTTGGATACAGCACTCTGTGAACAGCCAGCTTCTTTGGCAATGAATGTTTGTGGCTTACCCTCCTTGTGAAGGGTGTCAATGATTGTCTTCTGGACAACTGTCAGATCAGCAGTCTTCCCCATGATTGTGTAGCCTAGTGAACCAAACTGAGAGACCATTTTGAAGGCTCAGGAAAACTTTGCAGGTGTTTTGAGTTGATTAGCTGATTGGCATGCCACCATATTCTAATTTGTTGAGATAGTGAATTGGTGGGTTTTTGTTAAATGTGAGCCAAAATCATCACAATTAAAAGAACCAAAGACTTAAACTACTTCAGTCTGTGTGCATTGAATTTATTTAATACATGAGTTTCACAATTTGAGTTGAATTACTGAAATAAATGAACTTTTCCACGACATTCTAATTTATTGAGATGCACCTGTAGTGATGTTTGCTTTAGCTCTAATAAACATAAGAGTTTCTGAAGACCAACATTCAACTTCTTGCTAAATTTTAGTTCCACAAATCTTAAACTAAACAACAGTTGGGAACAAGTAATGATACCTGTAATACAAAATTTCAAGCTTCAATAGATATGCTTTTAGGTGACAGAAGGGGCAAAATGAAAACATCCCTCAAGAGGACATGCTCTAATGCAGGGTCAGATACTCTTACAGAAAGGTCTACAGGTCTAGAGGGGCATATCTGACGGTTCAGATGACATTAGCGCCACACGAGGTGTGAGTCAGTGTCAATTTAGCGTTTTATTGAAGCCCAGGGTAAGCGCAGGCACTCCAATCATGGGCTGAATGAGACTGGTCCAAATCCAGACAGCATTGTGGAGCTCAGAACACCTGGACTGGAGATGAGGGGAACGTCTGGTGCCAAGTTAGCAAAATTAATGATAACAGAGTTCTCTGCCAGAACTGTTTTCCTCTCCTCGTTTATTTGTCCATATCTCTGTGGTGGTCCCATTCATGTTCTGCTGTCCACCGAAATAGACCGCAACACATGCAATTACACCTTTCCTAAATGAGAAAAAATGACAGCAGCAGATCTGCGAGGTTACAGATTATGGGGTTAATTAAGGGGTGAGAGAAAGAGATAAAGTGGGATATAGAGGAGGTGGGATATGTGATGGAAGGTGAAAATTGAAGGAATTAGGTCAGATTCAACCTCTCAAATGAAGGTTTAATTCCTGCAGGCAGCCAGTGTTGTGGAGTAACTAAAAGTAGTGATCAGCACTGATTTATGTCATATTGTGCATGCAGCCCTACAACTGAAGCAATAATCAAACATTCTACTAGAATATCCTCTTTCAGGTAGTGTTGGGAAGTCCAATTTATTTGAAGTCCATTTCAGTGAAAAAAAAAAGAAGAAGAAGAAGAGGAAGAAGCAGCAGCACAGATTCATTTGAAATTCCTGCACAGCATTTATTATTTTCTGTTGCAGAATATAAAAAAAAGTAAAATAATTTTTTTTTAATTCTAAGTTCTAAATATTGTTTGTTTATTTAAATGTATTAGCTATATTAATTATCATGCTGTCACCGTACACTAAAAAAGAAAGGTTCTTTAATGGCATTGATGGTTCCATTAAGAACCTTTAGCATCCATGGAATCTTTCCTTTGTACAAAAGGTTCTTTGTAAGGCAAAAGTTTTTTTTAGATGATTGAAATATTCTTCACACTAAGAAAAATGTTTCTTTCAAAAACCGGTCACCTAAAGGTTCTTTCAGAAATCCATAAACAATTTTCTATGGCATTGCTGCAAAACCTTTGGAACCTTTATAAGTGTAAATGAGAACATTGTCTTGATACATATAGTATGTGTGTGACCTGGTAATCAAACCCATGACCTTGGCATTGGTGTGGCTATATGAGGCGGAACAAGAACTGGGGGGTTGAAACATAATTAACATGGCATGGGGAGCAACATTTCCTCACATGTCAACATGCAACTTCATCTGCATGTTGATGACAGAAAACACACTCTAATTTAACTGTCTTTCATCCCTTGATTGGTCCAGCTGCCTACAGCCCTTTGCATCTTGCTTTGATTAACTGAAAACATGGATAACTCAGCCCTGATTTACATGTATAGTAGATTAATTTCTCTCACAGTGCAGTCAGAGATGGAGTGTTGGAACACTATAGAGACATGAAAAATCATCTGTTGCTTTCTGTGCATCACTGATATAACTCAAAGTTAAAGAACTCTTTAGGCTCTTTCAGCAATTTTCAGAGATCCATGATGAACAACTTACCTCATAGCTTTCACACACATGCTTTCACTCATTGATAAATGTGGATTCTCTAATAAGTGTAATAACTAATATTGCTCCTGTAGCTTAGCTACTAGAATATGGTGCTAGAAATACCAAGATTAATGGTTCAATTTCAAGGGAACATATATGCGCACAAAAACATATAGCTTAAATGCACTTTAATTTAATATGAATAAAAGTACCTGTCAAATGCTGGCATGTATATGTCTAATATGCCATATTGTAACATCCAAAGCAATATCAATCAGCAACTGCCTTCTATGAAATATATATATATATATATATATATACAGTAATAATGGCATAAAAATAATAACAATAATAAAAAACACATACAGTATGGCGATTTGTAACTATTTTACATTTTGACATATAGGTGGTAAATCACTCACCCCACCGAGGTTTGGTGTAAATGTTTGAATCCATACAAATTTGATTTAAATTCACCAATAGTTATGTTTTCTCATGAGACCGATCTCAAATCTCCCTTTGTAAAAAATACTAGAAAAGGCAGTATCCTCTCAGCTATGTTCCTTTTTAGAGAGAAATGCTATCTCTGAGGATTTCCAGTCAGGATTTAGACCATATGTTACATATGCATGTAATTTTGATTTTTGTTCACAAGTATTGGCTTGTACTGATATGGCTGCCCCCTAGTGGCCTAGAGTTTTCTTGTTTGTCTTCGTTCATTAGGTGCCGATTTCAAACACCTGTGTGCCTGATGAGCTGAGCAGCATAAATATTGTTGTGACGCTGAAAGCAGTTGCGGGACTTTTGCTGGCAACTCGAGGAGAACCAGACGAGTGATCGGCAGTTTCTTTATGATTTATTCTCTCTCCTTTGTTAAATTAACTCAATAATAAATATCCCCTGTTAAAACGAGCCTGTGCTTGCCTCCGCCTCTATGTTATGTTGAGGACGTAACACCGTATCATAGTACTGAGACTGCTCTCATCAGAGTTACAAATGACCTGCTCTTATCATCCGATCGTGGTTGTATTTCTCTATTAGTGCTACTGGATCTTAGTGCTGCGTTTGACACTATCGACCACAACATCCTTTTGAGTAGACTACAAAATTATGTTGGCATTAGTGTTGGAATTGCATTGTCATGGTTCAAATCTTACTTATCTGACCGTCATCAATTCGTAGCAGTAAATGACGAGATATCATGTCGATCAGTAGTACAGTATGGAGTGCCACAAGGCTCAGTAGGACCGTTGTTTTTTACACTTTACATGTTACCCTTGGGAGATATCATCAAGAAACATGATGTTAGCTTTCACTGTTATGCTGATGATACTCAGCTCTATATTTCTTTGCGGCCCGATAAAAAATACAAATTTGCAAAACTAACAGAATGCATAGTTGATATAAAAACTGGATGACCGATGATGACATCACTGAATCATCAATGAACTTTGGCTGAAAAATTACCCTGTTATTTTCTTCTTGCATCACTGACAAACAATTTTCCTGTTTGACTCTGTAAAGCTGCATTGACACAACCAGTATTGTAGAAAGCGCAATACAAATAAAGGTGACTTGACTTGACTATTTAAAAAAAAAATAAAGTTAAATGTTATTGTTACTATTATTTTTTTTTATAGTTATATTTAATGGGTCACACTATGTGCAGTGTGAGGACCAAACCAAATCTCCAGGTG